CTTATACATGTTCTTATTCATTCGTGCACATTCTTATACGTGCATTCTTGTACATTCTCTACATAAATTAGCACAGTATCACACTTTCTTTTCTACTCTTTTCGTCACGCACTTTACTTTACCCATCCCCCTCAGTTGGGTTGGAAAGATCTCGAAAACCTTTGAGCTGACTTCAGTTTTGAACTGCTTGTCTTCCTTTAGTGTGGCTGTGAAGCTGAAAGGTTTGTTTGTCCTGTTTGCTGGTTATCTTGTGAAGAACTGTGCTTCTCTGCTAGATGCCACTAACATCTCAAAGACAGGTAAACGTCCAGTCTATCTCACTTTTTTGGATTTTGGGTCAGTCGGGAATCGATACGTACAGATAATGTAGCCTCTTCCAGGCGTTCAGTTAGTTCGAGTGCTGCGCGAAAAACGGCGGAACGCAAAAATAGGAGAGAAGCGCTTCTGCCCTATTTTTTCGCTCGCCGTTTTTCGTGCTGTGCCCCAACTAACTGAACGCCTGCAAGAGGCTAGTACTAATGTAGTTTCATGAATCAACTCAAACTGACGAGGTTCCTTTTTTTTTTTTGTCCAACTGATTACGGAAAACCGGAACTATCATTTTGTAAAATGCTGACATTTATCCGTCAGTTACATAGAATGCCTCTTTACCTGTATTCTAGTCGTAACTTATCACTGATCAGAGACGTCATTGTATTATCAATGTTTTATTATTAGATAATCGGTTGATTATTGATTGATATATTCATTTATTCGTAATACTGTATTCCTCTGATGTCATTCTGGTGGTTAGACAAAAAATAAGAAACAAATTTAGAAATAACACACTTGTTTATACACAAAATTTGAGCTTGCCGAGACTGTAGGCCACATCGGAAACCTCCGTTCTCCGTCTCTGATTTGTTGTGTGCATCAAAAGTAAAACACCTTGGGGCAAATCAGCTATTGATTACTCTTGAAAATTATGTAAATTTTTGATATTTTAAATTTTTCTTGCTTCCTTAGAGGGAACATTTTCCCCAGACTTGTCTGAAGAAAGAGGAATACAGAAGACGTGCTCACTGCTTAACTATGTGTTAGATTGTCTGCACAAATGCTTCAT